CCTCCCCGCCTCTAAGCTGTATATACAGCACTAAAAAATTCTGAGCAAAACAGATCCTAGGAGTCCAGGACCCGAAACTCCTTTTCGTACGGTTTTCAAAATTTTGGGTCTTTAGTTAAAAAAAAAAAGTCAAAAAATCCAAGAAAAAAAATATTCAAAAAAAAGTCTGCAGGAAATGGTGAAAAGATTTTTATTCTTAAGGAATTCCTGCACAGTTCTGGTTGGAAATTATTACTTTTTTTTTGCAAAAAACGTGAATAACCTCAACAGTGGTGAAAATTTTGGGTGTTTAGTTAAAAAAACATCAAAAAACCCTAAAAAAAAATCTTCGAAAAAAGTCCACAAAAAATGGCGAAAAGATTTTTAATCTTAAGGAATTCTTGCGCAATTGTGCTTGAAAATTATAATTTTTTTTCTTGTATAAAACCTAAATTAACCTCAGCAATGGTGACAATATTGGGAAATTTGCGATGCAGGAATGAGTTGGCGAGCATCAGATAGACAATCGAATCGGTATCCGCATTCAGGCCAAAATACATGTCATAACCACCATCCAGTGCATCGGCTGCAACATAATTCACAGTGAGTTTAGGGCCCTCACTTCGGTGGCCTTCGAAAGTGTGACAGCAGTGCATGTATGCAGTAATGCAGTTATGCATAAATGTCCCTGTTTCCTAGGTAAGTGGATGCTCAGCAAAGTGATAAGTCCAGCAAGCAAGTGAATTAGCTTCGTAGCAATCAATTCTGAAAAAATTTTCCCGATGAAACCCCTCAACCAGTCAAATTTTCAGTCTTTTAACAGAAAACAATCTCAAACAAAGCCGATTGCAGCAACCAAGTTGACGCTGGAAGCCTAAATGGCGAAGGCACGACAGATTACAGCATGAGGGAACAGTATGAGAAAAGAGGGCAAGAGTGAGATAAGACGTTTCGGTCCATTAAGTCATATACGTCCTGGCTCAACACCGCGCGACAGGACCTCGTACCAGTATGACGGTCACAGTGCTTAACAGAAAAGCAAAAGAAAAGACGACAGGAAGAAACAGAAGGGAAAATCATATGACTGTGGGATCAGCAGTGAGAGTGAAGTGAAGAGAGAAAGGAAAAAGGAAGAAAGTATCTTGATGAAACCCCCCAACCGTTCCAATTTTCAGTTTTTTAACATAAAACAATCACAAACAAAGAATTCGAGAATGTATATGTTACCAATTAAGAAGTCTAAACAGTGACAAGTGCCTACAAGCGCATTATTTTTTATCATTTTTTATTCAGTAAAATGAATTCGTGAGGTGAGGAAAGTAGCGAAGGCTAACAGGATGAGGAAAAAAGAAAGAAAAGAGGAAAAAGAGGGAAAGTAAAAAAAAAACAAGTGCAAGAAGGAAAAAAAACATAAAAAGCAACCAAAACAGAAAAGGGTTTCATCGAGATATAAGGGAAAAGAAGGGAAAAGGGTAAGGAAAATTTACCGGCGTCCGAAAAAAAAGACTCCAAAAAATTCTTTTCTTTGGTTTGTACAACCCGTTAATTCAGAAGGTATGCTTCGGGGCTACAAACGACCGCAAAATATCGCTTGACAATTCTGACTTCCCCGTCGATCCTTCCTGGAACGTCCAGTTTTGGTTTGGGCTTTTGCAACCCTTTGCATTCTACTCTATTCCAGTAAAGCAGCAACGTTCACTCTCTGCAACTACGCAGCAGAGGAATATCCGTCGCCAAACTTAATCTTTTATCATTTTTCAGAAAGTAAAATGAGAAAAAGAGGGTATCACGCTAGAAGACAGACCAGGAGGAAGAGGATGAGGGTCAGAAGAATATAATAAAAATATTTTAATGTTGGAAGAAGAAAGCTAGTGGTGTTAAGAAATTAATAAAACTTGAAATTTATTGAAAAATATTTTATAATTGGTAAAAAATGTTTCGGTTCATTAAGTCGTATACATTTCTAACCATTACCACAATTGCAGAAAGATACCGAACCCCAGCAGTAATTAAGCTAAATTTCAGTGCCCTGTAAACAAAGAAAGTGAAATAGACGTCTACTACATGTATGCTTCACAGCACGCGATAATTTCGCTACGTACATTCAATCATCTGCCTTATAATTGCCGGCGGCGAAGTGCCTTCAACTGGAGCAACAAGGGATGCACCAAAACCATAACCATCTAAAAGCCATTGCACAAGAGAGTGAATGAATTAAATACATGCAAAAATTAACCAATGCAGTAGAAAAAAAAACAAATAATGGGCATAATTCTCACAACATGCAGATCCCGATGCTCTCAATGACATCAATTAATCTATTTCTATTTCTTTTCCCACTAATGCAGCTTCAGACGTCCCGCAAAAAAAAAATAATTGGCCAGCGCACGGACCGCTGGTGCGAAGACGCGTTTTTTGCACAGTTCCCTCGCAAGTTTTTATCGCCAGTGGCACTGTTTTGTTCGGCAGATGCTTCTAGCTAAAAGAATTGAGACTGACCAACACGACTGTGAGAAAACATCCCCTTAAAATTTCAGCTTTCTAGCTTTTTTGGTTTCCAAGCTAGCACCTTGCTCACCAAAGACTTTGATGGACCAATGCGGGGAACTACGTGGCAACAGCGTCCATTTGGGGATGGGGCCCGCACATGCACGTAGATTAAGTTCCCAGAGCTTCAGCCTTGTAGCTTTGGTAGGTCTCGAGATGCAAAATTGGTACAGACGAGCACACAGACACACACACACACACACATACAACCCTTCGACAATATGCGTTTTTGCATTGTATAGATGCAAAAAACGCATAAAAATTAGCGGTTAGCTGTATATGACAGCAGCATCAGCAGTGCAAAGCAAAATGTACGCTACTGGAATACATGGAAATTGCATATTCGTGCTCCAATCGATTTATGGAGCACAAGGACTAGTAGTGTAGTGGATAGCACGTCGCGTTCGAATGTGAAAAGGAGCGGTTCGATTCCCTCTCGGTCGATAACAATTTTCAGAAATCGGCATCATCTGCGACAAAGCCATCGTGCCAGAACTGCTTCAGCGTCAAATCATCACAAAGCCTATGAAGAAAACTTCGGCAAAAAAAACTCACCAATTCCGTGCGAATGATATAACATCGATGTTACTCCATCAAAACGAAAACCATCAAAGCCATATTCATCAATCCACCAACGAAGATTGGATAGCAAGAAACGTAATGTTTCAATTCTAAAAATTTTTCCTCACATGGAATATTAGCTTGTAAACAACGGAAAATCGTTTCCTTCGTAAAAAATCGTTCTTAAAAGTGAGCTTGAATCGACTTGAGCAATAAAAAAATGACAAAAACGATAATAGAGAACATCAAAATCATAGCTGTGTGGAATTCTAATGTCCCACTATTTCAGCTTAGCTGTATTATGTCCCTTTTTTCAAATTCCTTGC